TTTTTTTCATTTAGCCTTTATTTATCCAGGTTAGTCTCATTGAGCCATGAGAACTCATTTTCAAGAGAGACCTGTTTAGGGAGCACATGGTGGGGGTTAAGGGCCTTGCTCATGGGCCCAGAGTGGGGCGAATGAGGGTGGGGGCAAGTGTGGGTGTTTCACCTACCCCACCCACAATTTTGATGTTGTCGGGGCCGGGGCGTGAACCGGCGATCTTCGGATCACAAGCCCACCTCTCTAACCTCTGCGCCACCACTCCCCCATTTTAAACGACTCAGTAATTTTGCATATTTTTATTTTATTAGTTTTAGGTAAGTAGTTAAACAGCTTTAAATACGATGTGATAACTTTTTATCTTATGTACCAACCTACTAAAAAGGATGTTTAAAACGTCGTTTTAAGGCCGGAGTTTAGCAGCACGTTGAGCCTAATCCAAATGCTTTTTTTTGTCTTACAGGGACAGTTCTAGTCTAATTATTCAGCTTGGTAACTGCCACCTCAGCGTTACATGAAAACATTTGAAGTTACAAAAGTCAGCTGGGAAAGTCGCTGGCTATACAGATTTATAATTAGAAACCTAACAATAGCACAAAGTGAACTTTAAAGCTAGCCGTGCAGCTGATTGAAGATCTTAAGAGTTATGTTATTTAATACAGATCACATAAATTAACTCAATTTAGGCTTAGTCACAGCATTTGTATCAGTTTTTGAAAAAAATGACAAACGTCCCAAATATATAGACCGATACTCAAAATCTAAATTGTTCTTGAGCCTTTTTTTGTTTGAGTCTGGTTTAAAGTTATGGATTGACCTGCAGACTGAATCATTTTCATTGCTTCAGTCATTTCAATCATTTTCTCATTTGAAATTGATTTGTTCTTCGTTTAAAGGGAATGGACTATTTGCATTCAAAGCGCTATGTGCATCGAGATCTAGCCGCCCGCAACGTCTTGGTGGAAAATGATTGTTTGGTAAAGATTGGAGACTTTGGCTTGACGAAATACATCCCCGAAGGAGAGATCTACTACAGAGTTCATGAAAATGGAGACAGCCCTGTGTTCTGGTTAGTTCATGCACCACAGTCAAGAGCTTTTTTTTTTAATCTATTTTCCTACCTAAGCTTTGTGTTTTGCATTTGATAGGTATGCCATCGAGTGCTTAAAGGAGCAAAAGTTTTCTTTTGCCTCTGACGTTTGGTCGTTTGGAGTCACTCTGTATGAGATCCTGACCCGCTGTGACTATCGCCAAAGCCCTCCAACAGTATGGTTTTTAATGACCTCATCACAAGCTCAAGCCTGCACACGTATACACATGAGAAACCAGTCGATAAATTGTGCATTTTCTCTGTGAAACCTTTGTTTTACTTTTGTGTGCTTTTGTAGAAGTTCTTTGAAATGACCCAGGAATCTGAAGGACAGATGAGTTTGGTGGCACTTTTAAACCTGTTGGAAAACAATCGGAGGTTACCTTATCCCAGAGACTGCCCACGCGAGGTAAGATGCCTCGTAAATAACGCATATAATCTCTGCTTTTAAGATGATGATAAAATGGTCACAGTATCATTCAAAACCCTTTATAGTCAATTTAAGCTATTTTATAGCATTGATTTCAGTTGTAAAACTAGACTGCACCTCTTCCCTTTCTTCTGTTATGTTTTTACTGTATAGGGTTCTTCTTCTTCTTTCGGCTTTTCCCTCTTCAGCGAGTCGTCCTCCTCCATCTCACTCCGTCCTCTGCATCCTCTGTTCTCACTCCAACTACCTCCATGTTCTCTCTAGCTGCATCCATATATCTCCTCTTTGTCTTTTTCCTGGCAGCTGCATTTCTAACATCCTTCTACCAATATACCCACTGTCCCTCCTCTGGACATGTCCAAACCATCTCATTCTGGTCTCTAACTTTGTATATGGTTAAATTCCCCTAATAACCTTTGCCTTAAAGCAAATAATCAGTTTTCAACGTGACATTTTACGATTTCACATTGAGCTGAGCTAAGATTAAATACCTTTTTCTTAAAATCTTTAATTTTCCTCCTCAGTTATTCAGTGATGTTTCCAAACAATCTTGTTGAGAATAATGTGTTTAACATTCTTAGGTTAAGGAAACACGAACACTGCGGGGTAGCGTTTGCTAAGTCACCGAGTTTCTCAACAAGTGGTCGGGCTGGTTTATAAAGCCAGTCACCATGACAGTGTGATTTCTGTAATGAGGTTTCATAAACACTGCTTCACTATTACCCTTTTATTTAGTCTTTTAGCTTTTAGGGTTAAACAACAAGGACAGCTGCATTTTTAGGCTCAATTAGAACCATAATAACTTAAATTAGCCTTTTTAGGTTGCTGTAAATGTTGCATTCAAGGATAGAGAAAATATGAACGTCATCCTCTGGCTGGGAAACAGTAAAAAAAAAAAAAAAAATATATAT